GTCGTTTTTTGACGCTCCCGAGGACCGGTGAGGGCCCCCAGAAGCCGAAAATTAGGAAAAACCTCCCGTCATGATTTTTTCATTACTCGAGGGGGCCTGCTCTTGCACTCGGCCTGCTCGGGCCCCCGCCGCGGGCCAGAGCGGCCGCCCGCCGGCGGGCGGAGGGGCGGGGCAGGCCCGGGCGGCCGGCGGCGCGCGGGGCCCCGCGGGGCGGCCGAGCGCCTGCGAGCAGTGCGCGCGAGGCCGTCGGGGCCCGCGGGAGGCCGAGGCCAAGAGCCTGCTTTTTTACCTCCCAGACATGATGGCGTCGAAAAAAAAATGAGGACGGAAGGTTTTTCGCTGTTTTCGGCCCCGGGGGGCCCTCGCCGGGCCTCGGGACCGTCAGAAAACGAGGCAGGACGAAAAACCGGCCCCGGGGAAAGGGTCTGGACTTCCAGGGACGCCGTCCTGACAAAAATCAGGACGTCGCATGTCTGGGCTAACAGCTTTTGCTGATAGGCTTCTAGTGGTGTCAAGAGCCTGTGTTTTGCTGGACTCCGGCAAGATGGCCTGCATGCACGGGGGGGGGGGGCTGGACCCGAAGCCAGCCACGAGCGACCTGCACGCTAGGGGGGGGGGGGGCTCATTCTCCCCTCTAGCCCGGGGGGGGCCTGCTGGCATCCGAGTCTGGGGGGACGCCGCACGCGCACGGCGCCCTGGAGGGACCCGCAGGGAGCCAGAGCCAAAAGCCTCGGCCCCAGCGCAGCCCGTGAAACAAGGAACCAATGGATATGAGAAACCCAGGGTCTGGAAGCTGGTGGGGCTCCGATCCAATGGATTTGCCACGGGTATCACTGCCGCCCTCATCCGAGAAGGAACCCCCCAGGGTCTGAAGCCTCCTGGGCACATTCCTGGACCAACGCCCCCACCGCAGATGTCCCTCTAGGTTTTGAAGGCTCTCGCGGTCTCGCTGTCGGCCCGCTGAAAGCCCAAAGACGGCCCGAGAAGCCCCAAAGACAGGGATCCGCCCAGGAGGGTCCGGAGACGGCCCAAGAGGGCCCCAGCACGGCCCGAGGAGGCCCCCGAGACGGCCCCCACGGAGGCCCAAGGGGGGGAACTGGAAGAGGCCCTGGGAGCCGTCCCCAACACAGAATGGCCCCAAAGGCACAAGATGCTCCGATGATGTCCCCCCCCCCCCCGATGAGTCCCAGGAGGGCCCCGAGAGGCCCCCAGGCTCCCAAGAGGCCTTCGCCGAGGCCTCCGAGAGGCTCCCGAGAGACTTCCAAAGGCCTCGTCGTCCTCGTCTTCTCTCTCCTTCTCGTCGTCGTCCTCCTCCTCCTTCTCCTCCCCATCTTCCGCCCTCCCCCTCGTGCACGCTCCCTGCTGTCTTCTCATCATCGTCGCCTTCCTCCTCCTCCTCCTTCTTCACTTCAGCGTCTGCGGCAACAGTGCAGTCCAGGATATCCCCGTCTGCTCCGTTCATGCTTCGACCGAGCGCTCCAATAATCCACGCTGCCGACACTCACCGCCCATGCCACCGTACCCCCATCGCCACCGCTGACACAGTCACGCATCGCCACTATACCCCCGATCGCTCGTCGATTCAGAATGCGCGAGCTATTTGCCCCTGGGCAGCCGCCAGCTATTCCGCCCTGGTCTGCGTGCTTGTGCCTCTTCCTGATTATTGGTTGACCGCCTCTTGCGCCTCCCGTCCCCCTCCTCCTCCTCATCCGCCTCCTCCTTGTCATCTTCCTCAACCTCTTCCCCCCTCATCGCTCCTCCCGTTGCTGTTCCCGTCAACCTGCTCCTGCTTCTCCTCGTCCCCCTTACTCTTGTTTCCCCCCTCCCCTTCCTTCGCAGCCTCGTCGCCGTCCTCCTGGATGCTCCTTGTAGACCAGTCATCAGGCTCCAGCTGTTCATCCAGGCTGGAGGTACTGGGTCCTATCCGCATCAAGGGCTCCCAACTTCGCGCTTCGCGCTGCGCGAAGCGCGAAGAACTTCGCGCTCTCGCGCCGCCTCCCAAAGGAGAAGAGGAGGACGAGGAGGAATCGGGGCCGAACCGCGAAGCGCGAAGCGCGAATCACTCCGCGCCCTCGCGGGCGCCCTTGCGCATGCAGCGGTTACGTATCTGCTCACGAGGCGTGCGCCGTCCCGCCGACCACCCAAAAGTAAGGTATGCGGCTTCCGATGCCGCGCGGGGGAGGAGGAGGAGGAGGAGGAGGAGGAGGAGGAGGAGGAGGAGGAGGAGGAGGAGGAGGAGGAGGAGGAGGAGAAGGAGGAGGAGGAGGAGGAGGAGGAAGAGGAGGGAGGAGGAGGAGGAGGAGGGGGAGGAGGAGGAGGAGAAGGAGGAGGAGGAGGAGTTGTTTGCCGTCCCCTCTTCCCTGTGCCTCGCCGTGCCCCAGCGCGCCCCGCCGCTGCCCGGCCGCCATCGTATCCTCTTGCTGCCGCTGCCTCAAAAAAAGGGGTGCTCGCCGCTTCCCGTTGTGCTGCCTGCATGCAGTCGTTGCTGCTTTGCCCTCTTCCTCCACGCCTGTTGACCGGGGCCTCTTGGAGGCCTCGGGGCGGCCTCGGGGGATCCTTTTCGTGCCTCCTGAAGGTTCCTGGGGGATCATCATCACCACCACCACCACCATCAGTACATCAACATTCCTCTCCCATCAGCAGCATCATCATCATCATCATCATCATCATCAGCATCATCATCATCATCATCATCATCATCATCATCATCATCATCATCATCATCATCATCAGCACCATCATCATCATCATCATCAGCAACATCATCATCATCATCAGCAGCATCATCATCATCATCATCAGCAGCAGCATCATCATCATCATCATCATCATCATCATCATCGTCATCATCATCGGCACCATCATCATCATCATCATCATCATCATCATCATCATCATCATCATCATCATCATCATCATTATTAGTATCATCATCATCAGCATCGTCATCAGCATCAGCAGCAGCATCAGCAGCAGCATCAGCAGCATCAGCAGCATCATCATCAGCATCAGCATCATCATCATCACCATCAGCAGCATCACCATCAGCAGCATCACCAGTAGCAGCATCATCATCACGACCACCAATGTCCTCCTCCTCCTCCTCGTCGTGGTCGAGGTCGTCGTCGTCATCATCATCAGCATCATCAGCATCAGCATCATCAGCATCATCAGCATCATCAGCATCATCCTACGCTTCCTCCTCCTCGCTCCTTTTTCGTCAGACTGAGAAGCGTGAGTCGTACTGCTCCACCAGGCACCCAACCCCCGACCCAGTCCCAAGAACATCACCGCCATCGGACCCACGCCGAACGCAGTCACTGCAGCTCCACCTGGACCTGGCAAACCCATGGATTTCTTCACTCTCCTGGGGGTCGGCGGAATGGCGTAAGCCTCTTGAGAAATGCTTGGGTATGGAATTCTCAGATCACGCCGTTACCACAAGAAAGAACTGCATATCAGAAAAAAATCGGCGGCGAGACAAATATACATAATCAATCACTGACATGAGCGGAAAAACGGCGGCGGGGCGATCCAATCCGAACATATCAGTCGGGACTCCCATGAAAAAACTCGCGGCGGGAAAATTCTAAATCAGTAAAAATTTAAAATGGTTGGCAACATATTTCAAAATCAGTATATAAAATACCAATGATATATAATCACTGCTGGCACTCTTTCCTGGAACCTATAATCAAAAAACAAATCTCACTTGAACGGTCAAAAACAACAACAAACTATACATGAAATCGCCGACTCCCCCACCCAGAAAATGTTGACAACGAACCGGGTTTACCAAATGAATATCTGCGTAAATTTCAACAAACCACGCAAAAAGGAATCATCTTTGCTTACCTCCTCCCTTCCGTTTACCTTTCCCGGCGTCGGCGGGCGGCGGGCGGCGTCGTCGGCGGGCTGGGTCGACTTTCACTATAAAAAACCACAGCGGGGGACAGCGGGCAAACTGGCGGCGGGCCCGCTGCCCAGAATCAGTTCAAAATGGCGGCGGCGGGGGGGCGCGACATCCATCCAGTACTGCAGTGAGCACCGAAGAAACCGGAGTGATATTCTCAGGCAAGGTCTCACTATGAAAACGACTCGTCATCCTTCATTCGTGTAACTGTTAGATTGGTTGAAGGCGACTGCTGGCGGCGCCAAAGCGTGGGCACCATTTCGAAAAGGGCCGCCCTCCGTCCGTGTACCTGTCGGAACCGCTGCACCTCAAGGTCGTAAACGGTGAGGAGGCCTCGGGCGAATCCCCTGGCCTGCCCTATCGACACGCTGGTTGGTGCTACACGGCCGAACTGCTCATTAGGAAGAGGGATGAACGAGGAGGAGGACGACGACGACGACGACGACGAGGAGGAGCAGTGGGCTGGTGATATTACGTAGGAGGAGCAAGAGCAGCGGAAGGTGATAGGGGGAGAGGAGGGGAGAGGAGGAACATCAACAGCAACAGCAAGAGGATGAAAGCGGAGGGGGAGAGGACGGAAAAGTACCCGCAACCAAAGATGAAGACGGGGGAGAGGAGGAGCCTTTCCACATCATGCTCCTTCTCCTCCTCCTCCTACTCCTGCTCCTGCTCCTCCTCCTCCTCCTCCTCCTCCTCCTCCTCCTTCCCTTCCTTCCTGGCGGCAGCGACAGCAACGAAGACGCCGACGCGGATATCGACATCGACGACGACAACGACGGCGATGCCGCCGACGACGGCGGCGACGACGAGGACGAGGACGAGGACGAGGACGAGGGCGAGGACGACAACGACGATGACGACGACGATGACGACGACGACGACGACGACGACGACGACGACCCCGATGGCGACGACGACGGCAGCGACGACGATGACGGCAGCGACGGCGAGAGCGACGTGGAGGCCGACGACCACGACGCCGACGCCGACGACGGCAGCGACGACGACGATGCCGACGACGGCGGCGACGACGACGACGACGACGACGACGACGACGACGACGACGACGACGACGACGGCCGGGCGCCAAACAGCGCAGCGCCAGCACCAGCTGCGGCGCCAGCCGCAGGGCCTCGCGGCAGGCCCACGACGCCCGCGCCAGCAGCGTCGTGCACCTCGCAGCCCGCCACGAGGAGGAGGAGGAGGAGGAGGAGGAGGAGGAGGAGGAAAAGGAGGAGGAGGAGGAGATAAAAGGAGGAGGAGGGGAGGAGGAGGAGGACGAGGGGGGGGGGGAGGAGGAGGAGGAGGAGGAGGAGGAGGAGGAGGAGGAGGGGAGGAGGAGGAGGAGGAGGAGGAGGAGGAGGAGGAGAGGAGGAGGAGGGAGGAGGAGGAGGAGGAGGAGGAGGAGGGGGGGGAAGAAGAAGAGGAGGAACAGGAGGAGGAAGAGCAGTGGAAACCCGCAAACCCAAGCTTCATCAACGATATCGCAATAAACCCTCCCTTCAAGTTCCCTCTTCATAGGCGCCTAATGGTTTTAATTTCCACTGCAGGAAGTGCCCCGTAGGAGCACAGCCGTTTGAAAATCCTGAAATGCACCAAAACACCATTCCTAGGACTTCGACGCCGCGAATCACCGTTACTGTCGCGTCTTGACGATCCTGAAGCGTGCCAGAAAGCCACTCCTGAAACTGCAACACCACGAATCAACGTAACGGCTGCGCCCTAACAGTCCGATGTCGTACCAAAACACAATTTCTGATACGTGAACTATGAAAACAATTGAAATTGTTCTACACCCTTAAGACGAATGTGCACACCGCTACAGCGAGAGCCACATTTTGAAAACGGCGCTACGGCGAGAGCCACATTTTGAAAACGACCCGCCCTCCATCCGCGAAACTCTTAAAATCTGTTAACACGGATGTGCGCGGAGCTGAGGGGAGCCACATGTTGAAAACGACTGGTCCCCAATCCGTGAAACCTTAGCATGTTTTCCTCTTATCAGTGCTTGCACTGAAAGGGTCCTAGCGGAGATTGGAAGACTTGACGAAAATTCCGGGCCGATTTCGGTAGGCCACCGGACGCCCGGGTTCCCAATCCTGGGTTCCCGGATTCACGGTTGCTGGTCCCGGGACGATTTCATTGGGCGGCGGGGTTCCCGGGTTTCTGGGTTCCCGGGTTTTTGGTCGATCTCCTTATCGATCGGTCTCACCATCGATCTCATTACCCACCACTCCATCGATCCCACGATGGATTCCAAAATCGATCCAACGATCACTCTCACATTCGATATCACGATGGAACGCACGAGTCATCTCACAGTCGATCTTACGATCGATCTCGTTGTATCGATTTCAGTATCGGTTGCGTGGTCGACAGTACGATCGTCCCCACTATCGATCCCACTATCGATCTCACTGCCAATCTCACGACTGATCTCAATATCCGAGAGAGCGAGAGAGCGTGATCCACCGCCGCTTTACTGTGGAAAATTGCCGCCCTTTTCCTCCGGAGCCCGGGGTTCCACCCCCCCCTCCGAAAATCCCCCCCCACTGCTGGACCCCCCGCCCCCCCTCCCCTCCCCCGGCAAAATCCCCCTCCCCCTCCCACCCCCCGATTCCCCCTCGAAAACCGGCGGGGGTCACTACCGGTTCGAACCCCTCCCCCCCCACCCCCTCGAAAACCGAAGGGGGGTCACTACCGGTCCACTGTTGTTCCCAGCACCACTGTCCTCACCACCACTGTCCCCACTGATTCCACCACCGTCCCTACTGTCCCCACCAGTGCCCCCACCACTGTCGCACTGTCCCCATTGTCCCCACCACTGTTCCCACCACGGTTCCACTCTCCCCACTTTCTCCACGGCCCCAACCACTGCCCGACTATCCCCAGTGTCCCCACTGTCCCACTGACTCCTCCGCTGTCCCACTGAGCTGTCCCACTGATCCCACCACTGTCCCCACTATCCCCGCCACTATCCCCACTGTACCTCTGTCCCATTGTCCCACCGCCGTCCTCGCCACCGCCTTCACCACTGTCCCCATCACCACTGTACCCTCCACTGTCCCACCGTTTCCATCTCATTCCCACTGTCCCCACACCACTGTCCCCACCACCACCGTCCCCACCACTGTCCGCTGTCCCCACTGTTCCCACCATTGTCCTCACCACTGTCCCCACCACTACCGTCCCCACCACTGTCCCACTGTCCCCACCACTGTCCCGCTGTCCCCTCACCACTGTCCCCACCATCACCGCCCCCACCACTGTCCGCACCCCCACTCGGTTTTCGAGAGGGGGGGGGTTCGAACCGGTAGTGACCCCCCCCCCTCTGGTTTTCGAGGGGGGGGGGGGGGTTTGAGCCGGTAGTGACCCCCCCCCTTTTCATGATGAACTGGGGGGGGGGAGGGGTTCGAACCAGTAGTGACCCCCCCTGGTTTTCCGGAGGGGGGGGGAGGGGTTCGAACCGGTAGTGACCCCCCCCGGTTTTCCGCCAGCAGCGGTAGAACACGCTCTCTCCAATATCCAGATCACGAATTTTCAAAGCATCCAGTAATTGGGTGTTCTCTGCTATCAATTACAATTGATGTGCGCGGTGCTAGGGCGAGAGCCACATGTTGAAAACCATCCGCCCTCCATCCGCGTAACTGCTGCAATGTGTAAACTGCACGATCATAAACCGTGAGGAAATGTCCGGCGAAACGCCCGGCCCGCCCTTCCGACTGGCCTCGGGGTGCGACAAGAGGAAAATACGCAGAAGGAAAAGGAATGGAGGAAGAGGAGGAGGAGGAGGAGGTGGAGAACGACGACGACGAGGACGAGGAGGAGGAGGAGGAGGAGGAGGAGGAGGAGGAGGAGGAGGAGGGAGGAGGAGGAGGGAGGGGGAGGAGGGAACAGGGAGGGGGGAGGAGGAGGGAGGAGGGAGGCGGGAGGAGGGACAGAAAGGGGGAGGAGGAGGAGGAGGGAGGAGGAGGAGGAGGAGGAGGAGGAGGAGGAGGAGGAGACGAGCGCAGAGGGGGCGGCGGGTGGCCCCGCCGAAAGGAAGGCGAGCGGGGTGGGCGCGCCTCTGGCGTCCACCGCGCTGAAGCCCGAGTCGCCCGAGACGGGCGGCGGCGGGCGGTGCGCATGGGCGGCGGGCGAGGGTTCGCCTGTTTCGGCGAACGCGCTGAACTCGTCGATGTGGCAGCAGCAGCCAGGCGGCTGCTGCTGGGGTATTGACGACGAGTCTGGGCCAGACCCCTTCTGCCGACCCGCCTGGGGTATTCACGACGAGTCGCTGAGGAGGAGATCCGGGGGGAGGAGGAGGAGAAGGGAGAACGAGGGGGAGGAGGAACAATGAGGGGAAAAAGGGGGAGGAGGGAGGAGGATGGGTGGGAAGGGGGGATGAATAGAGGGAGGTTCAGAGTGAGGAAGATGAGATGGAGAAATGAGGGGAAGGGTGGGAGGGGGGGGCAGGAGATAGCACGAGGGATGGGGAGGATGACAAGGAGGGGAAAACGACAAGGATGAGTATGCAGGGGAGGATGTGGAAGAACACGCCCTGCAACATGATGCATGGCCAAGGCCGAAAGGAGGAGGAGGAGAAAAAGGAGGCGGAGGAGGAGAAAGAGCAAGAGGAGGCGGAGGCAGGAGGGGGAAGACGGCGGCGGCGACGATGACGACGACGGCGCACCTCACCAGGTTCTGCGACGAGCTCAACAGCAGCAGCGCCCAGGCCAGCCAGGCAAGGTAAAGGGCGTCGTCCTGTCTCATCGCGCCCCGCCCAGTCGAGCTGTAGAGTAGGATGGGGAGGAAGAGGGAAAGGAGGGGGCGTAACAGCGGTAGCGGACAGGTTCCTGCTTCAGACCGTCATGCATACCTGTCCGCGCCTTGGAGGGAAAGGAAGGAGACGGAGTGCGAAGGGCATGTTGGCACGCGGTTCCTACCACATGTTGTCTACCCCGACCGTCTTCTATACCACCGTACCGCATCCAGTCGTCCACCGCTGGGCCTGCTATTGCCACGCAAATCCTCCCGCTGCACCTCCACCCTCTCGTCGGTTCCTCAACCCCTCCATCCCCTGCTCTGACCTGCTCGTCGGTCGCCTTACAACGGGAGCGCGTACGAGAGGACACCCGAAAGTGGACAAGACCCATCCGAGGAGCAACCGGGCACGACAACCAGGAGCCCCTCGTCCCCTCTTATCCTTCAGTGTTGTCCTCATGCCTGTGCATCCCTCCGTTCCCCATCCTCCCCCCTTGCCATCAAGCCTTCATCCTCCCGTCGCCCTCCTGTCCGTCCTCCCTCTCGTCCTTCTCTCCTCCCTCCAGCGTCGACTTGCTACGTAACGCACTCTGGCTGCGCCCCCATACATGCGCCAGGGACGCCCATTTTCCCACCCCAGGTAAGGAGGAGGAGGAGGAGCAGCAGCAGCAGCAACACCACCACCACCACCACGAGCCGTCCCTTCCTTCCTGCTCGTCCCCACCGTACCCCTGCCCGATCACGCCCTGTCCTGCCTAACCTTGTTCGCCTCTCCTCCTTCGTTTGGGCCTGCCCGCCGTTCGTGCAATTCGCTATGTCGCCCCCTCCTGTCCATGGTCGCCACTATCTTCACGATAATCATCCTCGTCGCCGTCGTCATCATCATCATCAGCATCATCATCGTCATCAGCATCATCATCATAAACACCATCATCATCAGCATCAGCATTATCATCATCATCATTATCATCATCACCATCATCCTCATCGTCATAATCATCATCGCCATCACCATCACCATCACCATCATCACCATCATCATCATCATCATCATCATCATCATCATCATCATCAGCATCATCATCATCACCATCATCATCAGCATCATCATCATCAGCAGCATCATCATCATCAGTATCATCATCAGCAGCATCATCATCGCCATCATCAGCAGCGGCGACAGCAGCAACACCACAGCCACCATCATCATCACCGTCATCCTCATTGTCATCATCATCATCATCATCATCAACCGACAGCAGCCTCCGAGTCATCACAAACATCAGCATCATCACCATCAGCATCATGATTAGCATCATCATCAGCATCATCAGCATCAGCATCAACATCATCATAATCATCATCATCGCACACATCATATCATCATCATCATCATCATCATCATCATCATCATCATCATCATCATCATCAGCCATCATCATCATCATCAGCAGCAGTATTAGTATCCTCATCATCGTCGTCATCATCAGCAGCAGCATTGTTATGATTGTGGCCATCGTCATCATCATCAGCATCATCATTATCATAATCGTCATCATCATCATCATCATCATCATCATCGGCGTGTTCCGCATCATTAGCAGCACCATTATGATCCACGTCAACAGCATCATCAGCACAATCAGCACCAACAGAATCATCTCCTCACCATCGTCATTATACTTCATCATCATCATCGTCGCCAGCATTAGCATGATCATCATTATTATCAGCATCATCATCATCAGTATCCTCATCGCCGTCGTCGTCATGATCGTCAACATCACCATCACCTTCATCAGCACGACCAGCATCAGCACCATCGTCATTGTTATTATCATGGTCCTCGCCATCGTCGTACATGTTGTCATCATCCACCTCATCGTCGCTTTCGTCATCAGCATCCGCCGCATCATCATCAGCAGCATCATCATCGTTGTCATCGTCACCGTCATCGCCATCGTCATCGTCCTCATCATCAACCTAATCATCATCACAGTCGTCGTCATCATCACCATCATATTTATCATCATCATCATCATCATCATCATCATCATCATCATCATCATCCTCGTCCTCGTCCTCATCCTCCTCACCCTCCTCCTCCTCCTCCTCCTCCTCCTCCTCCTCCTCCTCCTCCTCCTCCTCATCATCATCATCATCATCATCATCATCATCATCATCATCATCATCATCATCATCATCATCGTCATGGACATCGCCGTCCTGCCCGGTCCTGCCCCTCGCCCGCTCTGCGTCGTCGTCGTCGTCGCCCTGCCCTGTGATGCCACGTGATGCCTTCCCCGCGCCTCGTCGACCTGCCCTCCGCTCGCCGCCCTGCGCCGCGTGCCTCGGCGCGAGCGCGCGCGTGCCCCGCGCGAGGAGGCGCGGTCCTGCAGGAGCTCGACAGCCCTCTCCAGGTGGCCCCGCGCCTGGGCTTGCCCGGCAGAGGGCGGGACTGGGGGGGGGGGGAGACGGCGGAGAGGGGGCACACAGGGATGCGGAAGAGTCGCATGTCGCATCATCAGCCTCCCCCCTCCTCCTCCTCCTCCTCCTCCTCCTCCTCTCCTCCTTCCTCCTCCTCCTCCTCTCCTCCTCATCTCTTCCTTCCTTCCTCTCCCACCTCCTCTTCCTCCTACTCCTTTTCCTCCTTCACTCCGCCCCCTTCCTCCTCCTCCTCCTCCTCTTTCCTTCCTCCTCCTTCCTCTACTCCACCCCCCCTTTCCCCTCTTCCTCCTCTTCTCCTCCTCCGTCTCCACCTCATCATTATCCTCATCATCATCATCAGCAGCATCATCATCATCATCATCATCATCATCATCATCATCATCATCATCATCATCATCATCATCATCATCATCATCATCATCATCATCACCATCATCATCATCATCAGCATCATCATCATCATCATCATCATCATCATCATCCTCTTCTCCTTCATTACCATCATAATTATCTTCATCATCACCATCATCATCATCATCTTCATCATCAGCAGCAGCAGCGTCACCATAATCAGCAGCAGCAGCAAGAGCATCACCATCATCATTATCACCACCATCATCATCATCATCATCATCATCAGCATCATCATCATCATCATCAGCAGCAGCATCATCATCATCGGAATCAGCATCCTCGCTCTCATCATCATCATCATCATCATCAGCATCATCATCATCATCATCATCATCAGCAGCAACATCATCATCATCATCTTCATCCTCAACCCCATCCGGATCCTCGTCCTCCTCCTCCACTTTCGCCTCCTCCTCATCATCATCATAATCATCAGCATCATCATCATCATCATCAGCATCATCATCGGCAACATCATCGGCAACATCATCCTCGCTCTCATCCTCATCCTCATCATTATCCTCAACCTCATCCTGATCCTCGTCCTCATCCTCCCCCTTCTCCTCCTCCCTCGCGTCCTCCTCATCATAATCAGCATCATCATCACCATGATCACCACCATCACCATCACCATCACCATCACCATCGTCATCCCAATCACCATCACCAACACCAGCACCAGCATCATAACCAGCATCAGCACCAGCATAAGCATCAGCATCAGCATGATTATCATCCTCATTTGCATCATGATCCTCATCCTCACCATCATCACCACCACCATCATCATAATCACCATCATCATCATCATCATCGTCGTCATCCTCATCAGCCACCATCATCATTCTCATCAACCACCATCATCATCATCATCATCGTCATCGTCATCGTCATCCTCGTCATCATCGTCATCATCGTCGTCATCGTCATCGTCATCGTCCTCAACATCCTCATCCACATCGTGAGCAGCCACAACATTAGTAGCATCGTCATCCTCAATCTAATTGATGTCATGCCCCAGCTCCTGGGGGTTCTCGGAAAAAAACAATTTACTGCATCTACCCCATGCCTCTCATGGGTCCGCTACCGCCGCCAGCTGTCGGCTCACAAAAATTATGCTAACGGAGTTCCCCACATAAAGAGATTAACGGTTTCGTGGGACCCATTTTCTTGATGCCCTCCTCGCGACGCTGGAGGGGTGGGAGGGGCACGAAACCATGTAAATAGTATGGTCTTCCGACACCCTCCTCGCTCAGGCGGGGCCTCCCTGGAGGGGTGGGAGGGGCACGAAACCATGTAAATAGTATGGTTTTCCGACACCCTCCTCGCTCAGGCGGGGCCCCCCTGGAGGGGTGGGAGGGGCACGAAACCATGTAAATAGTATGGTTTTCCGATACCCTCCTCGCTCAGGCGGGGCCTCCCTGGAGGGGTGGGAGGGGCACGAAACCATGTAAATAGTATGGTATTCCGATACCCTCCTCGCTCAGGCGGGGCCTCCCTGGAGGGGTGGGAGGGGCACGAAACCATGTAAATAGTATGGTATTCCGATACCCTCCTCGCTCAGGCGGGGCCTCCCTGGAGGGGTGGGAGGGGCACGAAACCATGTAAATAGTATGGTATTCCGATACCCTCCTCGCTCAGGCGGGGCCTCCCTGGAGGGGTGGGAGGGGCACGAAACCATGTAAATAATATGGTTTTCCGATACCCTCCTCGCTCAGGCGGGGCTTCCCTGGAGGGGTGAGAGGGGCACGAAACCATGTAAATAGTATGGTATTCCGATACCCTCCTCGCTCAGGCGGGGCCTCCCTGGGGGGGTGGGAGGGGCACGAAACCATGTAAATAGTATGGTATTCCGATACCCTCCTCGCTCAGGCGGGGCCTCCCTGGAGGGGTGGGAGGGGCACGAAACCATGTAAATAGTATGGTATTCCGATACCCTCCTCGCTCACCCTCCTCCGATACCCTCCTCTCAGGCGGGGCCTCCCTGGAGGGGTGGGAGGGGCACGCCATGGTATGGTATGGTACGGTATGGTACGTATGGTGGTATGGTATGGTATGGTATGGTATGGTATGGTATGGTATGTGTGGTAGGAACTATGGTATGGTATTGTGTGTGTGGAAGGAATAATATTGTGCTGTATGGAAGATGGAGCGGGAGGTGGGTGGGAAGGAGAGGGTGTTCTGGGAAAACAAGAACCCCACTCAGGATGTGGGGAAAAAATGCTCTTTGCTCAAGCGCCAGGCCCCAGTCTCCCCCCCACCCCCTCATACTACGATTCCTTCTTCCTCTTTTCACGGAGAAGGAAAGGAAGAGAAAAACGATGAAAATTACGAACAAGAGGAGGATGGGGAGAAGACGATGAGCAGGAGCAAGAGCAGGAACACGCACGCCGCTGAGGCGAGATCGTGGAGGTCTAGCAGGCCGTGACTGCTGCCTCCTGGCCGCGAGAAAGTCCCAGACGCTTCGGCGCCACCATTGACGGAGCAGGAAGAAGGGGATGAGGGAGGAGAGCAGGAAGAGTAGCAGGAGGAGGAGGAGCAGGATGAGGAGGAGCAGGAGGAGGAGGATAAGGGAGTTTTTTTTCCCCCACCGCAGGGCGCGCACCGATAATCCTTATCCATAGTCCGTGAACTGCGAGGGCCACGCAGCGGCAGGCCAGGCCTGCCAAAGTCGAGGACCGCGCAGGAGGGGGGAGCAGCAGCAGCAGAGGAGCAGCGAAGGAGGAGAGGGAGGACAGGGTACGTGAGGCCAGTGCACTGCGAGATGCCGCTCTTCGGCGACTCGCGGGAGGTACCGTGGCACCTCGCGCGCGGGGAGGGGCGGGGCAGTCCCGCCCGCTACCGATCCTCCCGTACGAGAGTCCTCGGCAGCGGGGGGGCGCACTCGGCGACGGGGGAGGACCGAGTCCATGCCCCACAAGCCTCGGGCGCTTGCGACCCAGGCCACCGTCACCTCGACCCACAACCCAGGCCCGAACACACACCTAGACAAAATTGAGAGGCGGGCACCCTTCCTCCCAGAGAGGCGCAACGGGCACAGTTGAACAGGTCGTCGACGGGGCGGGCGGCGGGGGCGGCAGGGAGCGGCGGGGCGGGCGCACGCACGCCCCCGCGCGCGCTCCCCCAGCCAGGCGGGGACCCAACCCCAGCAGCAGCAGCACCGGCACAGCGGAGCAGCAGCAGCGAAGAGGACCGAGGGGGCGGGCAGGAAGAAGGGCAGGGGGAAGAGGGGAAGGCAGGGGCGGGAGAAAACCGAGGACCCAACAAAGCCCACCCCGCAGGGGAGAAGCAGCGGCAGAGGCAGGGAGGAGAGGGAAGACAGCAAGCGACAGGAAAGGCAGAGGGAGCACAAAGAGGAGCACTAGAACAAACGCGCGAGAGATGGAAGGGGGCGGTCACACTCAGACGACATCACTTCACGTGGCAGCCCGCACCATACGCCGCGCCCTGAACTGGCGTGCGACACCAGTATACCGACGAGCTAGAAGACGCAATCGAGCAACGAAGACCTGGGACGAGGGGACCTGAGTCTGGCGCCGATGGTGAGCATGAGTCTTCAGGAAGGCATCGAGGAAGGCAGCACAGGCAACGTCGCGGTCGAGCCACCAAGAAGGCCCCATCAGACAGAGACATGTAAGCCAGGTATCTCGGTGCTGCCACATCTCCCTCCACGGCGTGGGTAAGGCTTCCCACCCTGGGAGACGGTGCAGTGCAAGGTCACGGAAACGATCGCAGATTTTGTAATGGAGTAGGTCATCAGGGGCCGCACAGCCAAAGCAGCACCCACGGTCATTCGCATGAAAACGTGCCGAAGTACACACGCCCCTGGACAGTACGCGGAGAACGTTGGTAGCGAGATGAGTGCACGTGGCACGCTCCACGGCGCGCAATCTAGTCCGCAGACGGAACATATCCTCGAGGGAGGCTCCAACTAACCACCGCGATACCCGTACACCCAGACACAATAAGGGAGTGACAGCCATACGAACCGAACGTAAGTGACGATGGACTTTGACCTGGATAGAACGGGCTGTTCGATCAATGGGGGAGTTCACAAGGCCCGCCGCATCCTCATTCGTCGTGCGTATCATCGGATGGCACCACCACCCAGAAAACATACGAGCAGGGATAAATTCATCATCGGTCAGGCCACCCGCTAGGCCCTCAAACTCATATAGAGCATAGTCTAACGCCTTGCACCGCATCACCACCCGAAATCTCGTAGCTTTGTCATATAACCCCAGGTCCACGAACTCCAGTGAGATCCCCAGGTCACGTAGCTGAGTGAGCATACTGTAATTCAACGCATGCCGAGGCCCCGCGGTAAGGATCTGCAAAGCTTCCCTATGCTGACGCCGAACCGAAGGGGTGACCCTCACCAGCTGAATCCGATACTGCAAGACGGAGAGGCAATTAGAGTGGAACAGACGGATAGTGGTCGCCAAGCCCAGCGAGAGAGAGCGAAGAAGACGAACTCGCTGCCAGAACTTATTCATCGTTTCCACCCAGGCCACCGCATGGGCCGACGGGCCCACCCAGAATCCGAGGTGCAAAACTCTGGTGGCGAATC